AAATTCCAATAAAATTATTTAGTTAATAAATACATAATTACCCCTTTATTAAACTTACTAGTTTTAAAATTCCCATCACTGGCATGATGAAGTGGATTACCGAAACCCATAGGATTTGGATAACGTAATGGAGCTGAAGATGTAGGTACTGAAAAATCATTGGCAGTCACCTTCCTACGGCCTCTTTTAGTCACAGCTGTTTCAGGATTTTTTGATCGATGATCAGCAATAATTAGTTTGACATCTAATATAGGACCTTGACGGCCTTCTTTATGATTGTTGGTTGCAAAAGGCTTAGGCAGTATTGGTCTTTGAACACGGTTGGTGCGGTTTACTCTATCTGACACTATCCATTCATTGGACTGAGCATTAGATGACGAAGCAACTGGCGTGATACTAGTGTTAGATGATGAAGAGGCATAAATATTCTGATCAAAGTTATTAATTGCAGACTTTTCAAGTTGATTATCACCACGGTTCTCAATAATATCTAAAATATTCTGATAAAAAAATGAATTATAAATTAATAATTTATCAATAAAATATAAATATATTCAACTATGTTATAATACCTTTTCGCTTAGTATATGTTCGGGCTGACTTAAATTAATTTGAAACATTTCTGGTAAATTCCAGTCTTTGCTGTTGTCTGTCTTAATAGCATCAAGTTCTTTCAGTTTAATCATTAATCGTTCAATAATTTCTTCCTTAAGTTTTTGTAACCTGATCAAAGTCACTAACTCATCACGTTTTGTCTGCGCTATTTCTGTGATTACTTTTATTTCATTTTGTATTTTCTCTACATTTCTATTTAATTCGACTTCATTTTTACCACTAGACTGTACAATATTTTTGATCAATCGTTCTCGAGTATCGTCTTTCAATAAAGGTTGGTCTTCATCAGATCGTAACTTTTTAGTTTTGGGTAAATCATTATCACTGCTAGCTCCACTTACAACACTAAGTTCATCGTGACTAGCAGCAGACCTCTTGCGTGCAATTGGTTCATCTATCTGAAAATTACATAATAATGAAAAATATATAGGCACCTAATGAAATTTACATTCAATAAATACCTGCTTAGGTGAGAGTGTATCTGTACTGATTTCACTAGACATATCCTCTTCTTCGATAGCTTTACGGTTGACTTTTTCAGATTTGAAGTGTTTATCATCTTCTGTAAGTTTTACCTCCCCATTCACTGGATTTGTTTCTTCTTCACTGTTCTTTAATGCTTCATTACTAGTTGTGATAACTTCATCCTTGTGATTTGCATTACCGTTAATAAGTTTTTCAATTTCAGGAGTTTCTACATCTTCTGTGACTTCTGGTGGTTCGTCAACTTCTAAAGTTTCTTTCTTAATAACCACATCTTCATTAGTTTGATCTTCAGTTTCATCAATCTCCATAGGCTTAACTTCTTCATCTTTGTCTTCATTTACTATAGGATCATCATCATTAGTTTTAGAAGTTTCATCATTAATAGTTTCTACTGATTTTTGTTCCTCAGACACCCCATTTTTCACAATTTTATCAGTACTTTTGGATAAAGAATCAGTCTTGTTTTCTGGCTCTTTTTCAATTTTATCCTTTTCTTTTTCTGATTTTTCTTCTTCATCATCATCATCTTCATCTTCATTATCCTCTTCATCATTTTCTTCTTCTTCTTTTTTAATTACAACTCCAGGGGCTTCATCAGTTTCAATAGTATTGTCTATAGTAGTTCCATTTAACTTTTTGTGACTATCGCCATTTACTTTTGTAGTAGTTTCCAAATCATCGGTCTTTGTATTTGAGGGACTAGTGTCGACAGACATTTCGCTGTTTGCACAATCATCTGCCGGGATCGGCATGCGACTAATTTGCATCTCGTCTTCTATAGTGAAATATCTGAAAAAACAAAAGTTATTAAACATCAAACCGCTTTGGCACAACATTACATTACAAGAAAATGTTATTGGCCATCACTACAACAACCTTATCTCCAAATAACCAATTTTAAGATAAAAAGATCATTAATGACATCTATCGACTAATTCGACTATCAGACAATGACAATGAACAGTATGCAGTACATTAATCAATTATCATTTACCTACACGTTTTACTATAAAAGTTACGTACCTACCTATTCGTTATTAAATATTTTCTTATCTAAGAAATTATAACAAACTCACACCTCAACAATCATAGTGGTAACTAGTGAGCATACACAAATCGAACACGAGTAGTCTATTGAATTCAGAAAGTGGCAAGAGAGTATGTAAGCGGGTAGGGCAGACGATCGAGGAGTATAATACCTATAATCACCAGTACCCGCTGCAAGCCGACTGGAGCAAAACGTAGCACAGACCGACGAAAGGCCGGTGTAGACGACAGTTTGGCGTCAATCTGTGAAACCAGCTACCGACGGGTCGAAATCCTGCTGGAAATCCTTCTACAGTCGGTTTCGACGAGAGGCCCTTCCACTGAACCGGACGACAATCCGATGCACATTCGAGCAGGTCTCGACGACGGAAAATATCACAATATATATATAGGTACGTTAAATTGCAGAAGACGACGTGGGCAGGAACGGGAAATGCGACAAAGAAATTGAACCAAAAGTCCGATCGACCTGTGGTCACACTTTCGAGTAAGAGGTACCTACTCCACGCACACGGCGAGAGCGTAATGAATTCATCACTGCGGTCCAGTTTCCCATTCGACTCGCACAGTTCGTTTACCTCGGCGGCGGCGGCGGCGGCGTGCGCGCGCGGTTTGTCCTACTTAGACGCCGTCGCTGCAACGACAGCCGCGATTGCAGTCGTCACGGCCGCACGCGCGAAAATAAAAGCGACAAGCAGCGAACAGCGTACGACGACATGGGTAATAACAACAACAACAACAACAACAATAATAAAAAAAAACAATAACAATAACAACAAAATAATACCAAAAATATGGTCACATACGTACCACACGCGCACGAAACACGGTTATCAAAATTCACGACACATGGGAACGACGGGCGACGTGGATCGCGGGTGGACTGCAGCAACTGACTGGCACTAAGACGGAGATC